ATCTACAGATAGACCCCAGGTTGCCTTGGCTATTGTTCCTGTTACTTTACGTTATGGAGAGAATATCGTTCAAACTTGTGCGTTTCTAGACAACGGGTCGGATTGCACCCTTATCGATGAGTCAATAGTCAACAAGCTTGGGATGCAAGGAAGCCAGAGACAACTCAAATTGTGCACGCTTAATAGAGAGACCATGTTTGAATCGGTAGCCGTCCAGTTCGATGTTGCTTCCACTGATTCTGAGGACGGTCATTCATATTGAGCAAGCGTGGTCAGTGAAGACGTTGCCTAAATTACGTACATTTCGTCCGAATACTCAACAGTTATTGTCATGGCCGCATTCTACGGGATATAGCGTTTGGCCCATATTCCAACCGCAATATCGGTTTATTGATTGGATGTGACGTCCCAGAAGCGCACTGGGTCATTGATCAGCGAAAGGGAAAGAAGCACGAACCATACGCGATTAAGACAGTCCTAGGGTGGATGTTGGTGGGCCCAGTTGGAAAATCAATCAACGCCCGGACGGCGGTGAACTTCATAGGCATTGATGCGTTACAAGATAACTTGGAAAGATTGTACCAACAAGACTTTATCGACGCGGGCCCCGTAAAGGAAAAGGAAATGTCTGTAGATGATCGTCAGGCTATTGGGTTGATGGAAACTTCAATACGACTAACTGACGATCACTACGAGGTAGCTCTCCCTTGGCGTCCTGGATCCTTCCTGTCACTTGACAACAGGCCCATCGCTCTGAAACGTCTGCACATGCTACGACAGCGCCTTATGAAATGTGGTAATTTGGCACAGCACTATTCTCACGTAATGGGTGAGTACATCAGTCGAGGCCATGCCGAGTTAGTCCCTAAGGACGGGACAGCCAGTTGTCGATGGTATCTACCTCACCATCCCGTGTTCCATCCTGCTAAGCCACAGAAGTTACGAATTGTCTTCGACTGCGCAGCGAAGTATGCAGGCAAATCTCTAAATGATCAGCTGCTGTCGGCCAGACCAGATCTAACAAATTCCTTGGTTGGTGTGTTGCTGCTG